TACACGCGCCAGCACAAGTCCCAAAGAATAACCAAAATGGTTTTGCGAAGGGACGCCTTGATCACTCGAGGATTTTTCCATCGAAGCCGTGCTTGCAGACCGATAGGGTCATGTGCACCCTTTCACCCGGGCGGTTTGCAACCATATCGGTCATGTGTGGATCCATCCCAATTACCCTTCCTGCACCTTGTTCTGGCCTACCTTGTTGGTTCCTGCCCTGTTGGACCCGACCTAGGTCGTGACCTAAGTGGATTACACCCATAATCTCTCTAGGCTATTTTTTGTTGTCCTTAGGTTCATACTTATTATATGGACCTAAAGATATGAAATGGTTAAATTTATTGGGCCTTGCAAAATGAAAGAGATACAACTACAACTTCGTAAAAAAATTGAGAAAGTCCATTCAACATGTGAACTTTAAAATCATGATAGCACAACTTATATATTTACTATGTTGCATCGCGTTTAACAATTCAAACTTTTTTGTTAAATTGTTTGCCAAATCCAATAAAAAAAGATTTACTTGGGTTGGTGGGATTAGTATTTCAAAGTTTGATTTGCCCAATATTTTAACCTTTTTTATTTATGATTATTAACATTACACACACACACACACACACATATATATATTGATGGTGTAAATTAACCACCTGGGAAACAGTTCTAGACTGGGTCTAAAATTGTTCGCTAGATTCGAGAAAGTAAACATTGGTAACACAAAGGTTAACCGGGAGGACTGTATTAGAGACAAGAATTCAGATACTTTCCTTTGAGGGTTACAAAGGTATTTATAAGAAAAGGAGGGGACAGAGCGCCGCGCGTCCACGTCGTCCCACGTTTTTGATGGTGTGAGGAGGCTTCCCTCTTTTGTCTCGTAGCCTCTTGTCCCAATCTCTTATTGTTTTGTGCTGGTAATTCCTCTTTTTGGCGCGTAGTGTTTAGCGGAGATTGATGGAATATTTTCCCAATCTCTTGTTGAAAATTGGTCACTGTCTTCCAAACAATTTTGGAGTTATTCGTGCCGACACTTTTAGCATAAAATCCTCCCTAGTAGGTTTATCTTTTATGCTTTCAAGGATCATAAGTTCGCCAGCTCGAATTCGTATACTTTGACCGGTGTGTTAATGAACAGTACCGGTCAACTTGTCGGAAGTTAACCGGTGTCTTATTTTAGTTTTAAATCCTCCGCGTTGTCATGTCTGCAACACGACCAGTTACATTTTGCGGGCCGATTTCGGACCGAGTTCTGGGTGAAATACACCCATCAACCACTTCTTGGTCCTGTAATTTAGTCAAGGGCGAGAAGTAAAGTTCTGAAATCTGGCACTTGAAATTCGGATTTCAAGCTTTCCCGCCTAAATTTTTCATATTTTAAGCTCTTTCCTCTAAATTTTTTAAAGATTTGAAATTCAAATTTTGAATTTCGTCCACGTGTCGCGCCTCTTCGTACGCCATCATTTCATTTTCAACCGTTTCATCTTCCCAGGTGATATGCATTCGCCCGCATGCCATGCGTCGCCTTATCCTCCTTTGTCTTGCCTGTATAAAGGCTTCTCCTTCCCTCTCTTCTTCACTTTTCGCAAACTCGCTCCTGTGTCTTTACCCGGCCGGGTTCTGAGTGTGGCTCTCGGAGATGGGACTCATCTTTTTTTTAACGACGTTACACCACTGGCAAGGCCATAAATAATCAAAGGGTAATACCAATTCGATATTTAACAATTGCAATGCATAATGTGTCTCCAAAAACTAAGTGTGAATTCCACTCTTTAATAGCAATCTGTGATTAAAACCGAATTTACCGGCGGATCATGAGAGACCGTTAGGAAGGGGTTCTTCCCTTTTCTCCTAAATCTTTTCTGAAAAGTGAATAAAACATGTATTTTCTTGAGAATAAAACAAAGCTCGACTTGTGAGTGGTACAAAGTTGGAAAGAATACAAAACAAGTAATGGTAGATTTACCGAAAATCCTACAACTCAAAATCAAAGAAATATAATATTTAAAATTAAAGTAGCATGATTTTTCCTAAATACATACATGATGTACTCTATATACATAGGACAATCCGAAAATCATTTGCATATATACTGCAATTATAAGAAACAAATGAGCAAACCTCATACTGTATTATTATTGTATTATTTCATTTACAAGAAAAAGAATGGATTATAATTACTTCCAGGGGCGAATGGAGAGAACGATGATCAAGATGATGAGGAGGAGGAGAATGATGGCATAGCAGGTCCACTTCCTGGTGTTCCTCTGTTTCTTCCTGGCTTCTTGGAGGTGTTGGGCTCCCTGTCGGACCACGCTGTTCGCCCGGTTCACCTGGCTCTCAATGTCGTCCAGCTGCTCCCCCTGCGCCTCCACCAGCACCGCCATGTCCATGAACACCTGCTGCAGCTCCCTCAGGCTCCCCTCCACCTCCTTCACCGCCCCGTGCCGCTCCTGTGTTTTTTTTTAAAAATTTTTTTAAATCATCATCATCATTGAACTGTGTTTGATTCTGCAAATTGAAATCTCTCTTTTAATGTCTATACACACATACCTGAATCTCCATGACTGTGTTCATGACCTCCCCTCTCCCCTGTTCTTGAATTGCCTTCTGCATAAACGTCTCGCTCTGGCCGGTGGAGATCAGAGTGTCGAGCACCTTCTCGTCGGGGTTTTCTCCGGTGACGGTGAAGTATCTCCGGTGTACGGTGTCCCGGTACTCGGCGTCGATCTTCTCCCGGAGGTCACGGAACTGGTTCACGAACTCCTTCAGCTTAATCCTGAGCCCGTTGACCACGGAGGTCCTCGTCCGGTCGGCTGAGCTTCCCGGTCCGAACCCGTGGATCTGGCGGTTCGCCGCGTTGGACCGGTCTAACTCCTCGAGCCGGTGCTTGATGAGTTTCGCCTGCTTGAGTGCGAGGGAGGCGTCCCGGTCCATCTCGGACCGGAGCGATCGGACCTGTTTCGGGTCGTGTAGGGTTTTGCTCTTCTCGTGGGCGGTTCGGAGTCTGGCGTGGATTTCCTCGACGTTTTTAAGGTCGGCCTTGATTGCCTCGACGTCCTCGAAGAACTTGGGGAGGCTGGCGTCGCCGCCGGTCATCTCGACGGCGTGGGAGCCCGGCGGCGGGGATCCTCTGGGCGCAGAGAAGGATCTAGAGAGAAGGTCATTCATCGTTTTCCGGGGATTTGATTCAGAACAAAAATCAGATCTGGCGAAAATCGAATGAACAAATGGATTAGTATACGAAGAAATAGAACCCAACAAAGAAAAGAGAGAAAAACGCGTGGCTGAGTGGCGGCTGGAACTTGTAAACGGGGACCGAGAGGACGCGGCCCCCCTCAGAGTCGCGAGTCCGGAGGCCCAGTCAATCCTATATGAAGACCAAGAAGGTTCGATTTTTGGATTTGATCTTTGTTTTTTGAGCAATGCTAGGGGTACACCATTTGATGTATCTCATTTGTCCCCCACTCCTTTTTTTACCACTCATTTTTATCATCTTTCTATTTATTTAATTTTTAAAAAAATACTTGCCCATTTATGTGGTGGAGGAGGGGGTGAGGGACAATTGGGGTACACCTTTGGTGTATTCCTAGCATTTTTCTTGTTTTTTTGGATGGGTGTACTATTTCTAGAGAAAAATCTACCACTAAAATATACTCCATAGGCATTAGATATTATTTAAATGTAGTTCTATTTTTCATACGCATTAGACATTATTCAAGCATATATCTACCGCTATTTGACATTGTTTTTACCGTCGCTAAACATTATTCTTGTCACTCAAACAAAGAGTCTTAGATACTACATTGAAAAAAGACATACGGAGTATATTTTAGTACCATTTAGTATAAATTTCACCTTTTTCTAAAAGTGAATAATTGGTCGAGTTCCATTTAATGGTACAAATGAAATAAAAATATAATTATAAGTAATCATAATACTCGAAAGTAAGAGAACTAGAAATGGGGGTGACGTCGTAGGGTGTATTTACGGGTTAAATGTCGTTAGAACGATAAACACTGTCTTAAGGGGCGTTACCAAGTCATTAGAGTGATAGAGTCTCTACGTCAAACAATTTAACTGGCAGAAATGCATTGGACCCTATCAAATGGCAATAATGCTATTGAGCATAAAAAGGTTACTTTATATGTTCACTCTCATTTTCTAAAACAAAACACGCAAAAATCTTTAACTTTCTTTCTTCTTTCCTACAAAAATATTTCTCATCTTTCATCAATTTTAAAATTTTATCATGAACTCTCCATCCGGTCTTGAGCCACATGCGTACGCGATATAGGTTTACCAAACGTACAAAATTTTTTCGGTCTTCCCCGAAACGCAAACCCCACTAGTGAATTCGGAGGACCTGAACTCAGTTTCTGAAACTCAACTAGAACCAAGTGTACCGAAAAAAGGTACACACAAAAAGTCACAAGCCGCAATTGAAGATCTAAAAGTCGATGATCGAGACGGAACTGTCAAATACAAAAATAGGCACGGGAGGAAGAAGTTTTTTGGCCTATATATTTATGTTAAATTATATATGTTCTTCTTTATATAATTGTGTTAAATTTACCCGGAATGGGTGCTATCAACAAAGCAATGATCCATCTTATTCGATCGTGATCGAGTGGGAAGGTCTCTGGGCTTGAAGTTGTAACTAGTAAGCAGCCGCTATTGCTTCCATGTTATATATTTTAGTGTAATTGGAAAATCTATTACCAATGATATCGTAATAATTATTAAAGAAGTTGGTGGTGCGGAAAGCACGCATCGTTGAATTTGTTAGGATAAAAATCTCGTTTTATTGAGGGTTCTAAGGGGGCAGTGCCGTAGTGCTCCCTTGGCGGGGGTTCGGGGGTAGCGTTCCCAAGCAGGGTTCAAGGGGCCTGGCTGGGTTGAGATGGGCAAAGTGCTATGTTAAAATATTTATTTATATTTTTATTTTTGAATTTCTTTAAGCAGAAAAATCTTGAGAATAACATCGTTTCGTTCAAAAGCTTGCGCGCGAAGGATAGCGCGTCTTGGATAAAAAGACGTGATACCGTCTTTTCTTCTCCACTGCAATTCTATATATTCCCGAAATTTCTTTGGTCGAAACATAGTTCAAAAATTCATAACAATTCTATACCTGTTCTTGTTGCTTTCGAGTTTTATCCGATTGAATTTTAAATTAAACAATTAAAATATTCAATCTAGATTGATCCAGGTTATGGTTATTATCCCAAACACCCTGCAACCCAAAGGCTTCCAGAAATCCACTTTTCTCTACCGCAAGCATATCGACCCGATCTTCCATGGCGATAACAAAACTCGCAGTTGCCCTGCTCCTCTTCGCTCTCTGCGTCTTCCTTCCTTCAATTTCAGCCGAGTCCAAGTCCGTCAATTACTGCAGTAATTTCAGTTCCTCTTGGACGCTTTTTTCCCTTTATATTTGCATTCTCACCCCCCCCCCCTGTTTTGCTGCAATTGATTGGTTACCTCGCTTGTTCTCTATGTTCATCTCTTTTTACATATACCCAGAAGTAAAGATTCAATTGTGTGGATTATTTCTAAGTTTCTCTTGATAAAAATCCAACCTTTTTGTTTATTTTCCCCCCAAAATTGAAGCTTTTATGAAGTTAGATTCATTTGGGTTCACGTAGAGTTGAAATCTTTGCAGGAAATGAAAGAAATTATGATGTGTGAAGGTCAGTGGAGTCGACATCTCACCTTATCCTGTGCAAAGAGGCAAAAATGCAACCTTTAGCATTTCTGCTGTAACAGGTGAGACTCTTGAAGTTATATTTATAGCTGTTTCACTGATTCAATGGGCTTGGCATATCTGGCTTATGTTTACTTCATAGATGAGATTTAACTCTCCTTAACCCGAACCGAGATTAGACTATTAGTTAACTTGAAGCTTGATGTTTTCCTTTTCCGCCTTTGTTTCTTCAGATAAAAGCATATCCAATGGAAAGTTGGTTATAGATGTGAAGTACTTCGGTTGGGACATCCATAGCGAGACACACGACCTTTGTTCGGAGACATCTTGCCCTGTCCCCGCTGGTTCGTTTGTGGTATCACACTCTCAAGTACTTCCGGGGATAACTCCCCCTGTAAGCCCTTCTTACCCTTAATTGACAAAACTCCATTGCAATCTTTACCCAAAGTGACTTTTTGCGTTAGACCATTGATGCATTGTTACATTTACTACTCAAAACTTCATCGGAATTTGAAAAAACAAAGGAAGTTTAATGTGTCATTTTTATTTAGTTTGTTATTCACCTGAACGGAAGAAGAATCGTCAAAAATAAAAATGACTCTTTTAACCCCCATTGGCAATGGACAATATTTGGAAAATGCAGGGCAGTTTCACTCTTAAGATGTCAATGGTGGATGAAGAGAAGCATGAGTTGACATGTATCACCTTTGACTTTACCATTGGATTTGGGTTTGTTGCAGAGTCCTAAGCCATTAGCAGTTGCTTATCCCCCCCCCCCCTTGGAACTCCATGTCCTTGCCATTTCAGTCCACTTACTTTTGTAAATGAATTGCCTATCTTGTCTGGTTTCTCTCCATAATTAACATAGTAATGTGAAGTGTTCTCAGTTTCCTAATATATTACTACATCACACAAATGATTATGAACTTCTTTAGCTCTTTCTTGTTGCTTCTTTATGGTGAGAAAACAAAGAGGTGGGCTAATATTGGGAACCCCTACCAAGTTCCAAATGTGTTCTTATTAGTTCATTGAACCAAAAAAAACAATTCAAGCATGAAAAAATGTGGGCAAAATGCCCATGAATGCTTAAACAATAAGCTTATTTCAAACACACAGACATAGAAGGGACATTGCTACCGTCACACCGCGGATGACACCAGAAATAACACACCGATGATGTCTTCGGGACAATGACCTTCTGCGCATCGATGGTGTTGACTTAGAGTTTAAAGTAACATCTTCCTGCATGGAAACATGAAGCCCTGATAAACTAATCAGCATAACGATGAAGCAGGCGCAACAATTCTTGAAAATCTCTAGTTGAGCTCCCATCCCCAGGCTTTACGGCCGCCATAGCTTTCTCCTTGAGCACTGCAACATTTTCTCTATACACCTTACTTCGATCCCCCGCCAAAACAAGGTCGAAGGCCTCCATTGTAGCGTTCTTGGTGAACGCCACGCCCTCAACACTCACCCCGATCTCCCACTCGCTCTCAACGAGCTTGCTGTTCATCGGCTGGTCCCCGTAAAATGGCCTACAAATCAAGGGCACCCCGGAGGACACTGCCTCTAGAATCGAGTTCCACCCGCAGTGCGTCACGAAAGCCGCGACCGAAGGGTGGGACAGAACCTGTACCTGGGGAGCCCAAGGCACGACCTTCCCCAGCCCTTCGGTCCGGTCCAGGAACCCTTCCGGAAGGTAGCTCAAACCGGGCTCTTTGAGTGACCAAAGAAAAGGCACCCTCTTGGCTTCTAATGCTTCTGCTATGGCGGTGATTTCGTCAGGCGGCAGCACGAGGACTCTTCCGAAGCTGAGGTAGACCGCGGGCCCGCCTCGCAGGGCGTCCAACCAGGGGATGCATTGGTGTTCGTCGTTGGGGGTCGGTGGCGGCGGAAGGGAGGGGGGGAGGAGGGACATGGGGCCGATGTTGAAGAGGCTTTGGAGCTTGGTTTTGAGGTGGTCGGTGGTGGCTGGCTCTAGATCTTGGAAGGAGTTGACGGCGACGGCGTTTGCTCTGTGGAGGTGGAGGGACATGTTGTAAACCATGCCGGGGAAGGTGGGTGCCTGTAGATTCCCGGCGAAGATTTCCGCCGGCAGGTCGCCGATTTGTACGGTGGACAGTCCCGGGATGCATTCCAGGGTTCGGTTCTCTTGTGTAGATTCTCCTGCCAAATTTGATCCATTTTTTCAAAACTAGTGTCCGTACAAGGATGCTTATTTGGGCACAAATTAGGAGTAGATGTTTGATTCAAAGAATTCGGATCAAAAAAATGTCAAGAAAATTTAGTTTAAGAGTTTGGTTAAAACTAAGGAACAACACAAAAAAACCTAAATATGATTGGCTAAAATTATTTTTAGCATTTGAATGTTGGTATAGCAAGTCATCTGTGATTTTCTATTGCTGTGATTTAGCTAACAATTATGGAGTATAGTAGTAAATACTCTGTCTTAACTAAAGAGTAGAGAAAAAATCCAACAAAAAAGCACAAATTAAAGAGTAGAAGTAACAAAATATTTTGAGGCTAAGAATGAGAGAAAATAAGAGAGATAAATCAAATACTCAACTAGTATCATGAGTTGCTATATTTTGAGAGGCTTGATATATACGGAGAAAATTATGTTAAGCATAAGACCTCTACAAATAAGGGAGTCCACGGGGATGGAGTTCACATATTGCAAACTTTTTTTTATTTGAATACTTTTAGAAAATATTTGATAAATAAAATATTCATTTTATAGAACTTATAACATACACTCTCCGTCTAGAGGCGAAATCAGCGATCTAGTGGAGTGCAGGGGGAGGGAGGGGAGTGCAGGGAGGGGGGTTTTGGAGGGGGGTTTAAAGGGAGTTGGGGGATAAAAAAACTCCGGTCACAAGAAATTATTTTGTATTCCGGAGTAAGGAGTAAAAAAATTCATCTCAAAGAAAATAATTCACAACTCATAAGTCACAGAAAGGAAAAATACTCGGGTGTAAAGCTTTCACCCTCAAATTCAATTCCCGTGTTTACAATAGGAGATGCTAGGGGTACACCAAAGATGTACACCGCATACTTCTTTACCATTTATTTTTATTTAATTTTTATTTATTTATTTTTTTGAATTTTACATGCAAATTTTTGTAGTTATGGAGGGTGTGGGTGATATTTGGGGCACACCTTTGGTGTACCCAAACATTTTCCATTGGAGTATCATTTTTGTAAACAATTTATACCTTTGGTGTACCACTAACATTTTCTTTTAGTGTAATCCTATCATTTTCTTTTGGGTGTTGGTCTATCATATAAACTACAGAGTATGATTCAGACTGTTTGTTTCAGCCTATTAATGGTTCAGATATCTGAATGGTTCAGCACTTAATGGTTCAAACTGTTTATTTTATCCTCTTAATGGTTCAGATGTCTGAATAGTTAAAGAGATTTGCCTCTGAATGGTTAAATATTATACATAGTCGAATGGTTAAGACCTCTTATCTGAATTGATTAGACATTTGCCTCTGAATAGTTAAGCAATATACTAGCTCTTAATTATTCAGATCTCTTACTGGTTCAACACTTAATGATTCAGACTTCTTACTGGTTCAGCACTTACCTATTCAAAAGTTGTCAAACAGCTCCTAAAACTTTGAGTTACAAAATAAGGTACAATATATGAGGTAGAAGTAGAATTCTCCTACATTTTTTTCCCCAAAAGAATAGGGAGTACTAATATTTTTTAAAATTTTTGTATCCCGTACGAGATTTTGACAATTGAGTGGGGCCCTTAGACCCCAATAATCACTCACTGTGCCCCCACACAGAGGCAAGAACACCAAAACCCAACAAAGCCTAAACACAACACCCCTACCTAACTCTTTTTTTTTTTGAAACGTGACACCTACCAAAGTGCGGACTCTGAATAACTCAAAATTACACTAAAAATATACGTATTTAGATAGTTTACACTGACACAAAATATTAATGTAATAAAAAAATTTAACACTAATATTGTGTGTGCATCTGAACCATCATCTAAGCATCACACTGACATGAAGATACACACGTGTACAATTTGGGTACAAAATTTCGAGTACAACAATATCCAAGTATTAATTCGTCCTTCCATCGCTTTCTTTTAATCTGTATTAAAATCATTGTCTCACTTCTTTGTTTTCTTGAAAAAGTACTCGGCATTTCCTTTGGCTTGAATTGTTCTTTCTCAAAAATTATTTTTATGGTCAAACTTAATTTTTACTACAAATTTCATAATATAATATAATTAGAATAAAATTTGATAAAATAACTTATTCTTTAATAAAACTTTTAGTTTCTTTTTTAACATGCGATTTATTTTCTATTTTCTACAAAGCATCAATCTTTAAATAAGAAGAATGTCCCAGTTTACTATTCAAATTTTCTTTTTGTTTATTCATACTTTTTCATTGATTATTTGATAAAATAATATATTCTTACCACATCTTGGTTGGAAAAAATTTTAACATAGTATTTTAATGTATTAAATTTATTTTATAATTTTATATAAATAATTAAATAAAATGAATTAAAAAAATTTAAAGTCACAGTTTCTTTTGTCAAATGTGACAAACATTTTAAAAGAGAGTAAAACTTTTCAAACAAACGGTGTTAACGTGGCAAGGATAAGCACCAGGGAACCAAATACTTTTTGAAAATGTTGATAAGATTAGCATTTAGCACTACGAATTAATTTATACAGGTGTACGTGTGTGAGGGTTTCGAGAATTAAGCGTAAAATCTTAAATTCTTCAGGGTTCCTTTGATAAACGAAATGAAATTGGAAATTAGAATTCTATGTAATTGATATTGTTGGATTTTATTCTCAGATTTCAATTCATTTTTGACACTACCAATTATTGATCCGCATATTTTTTGTTACCAAACACCAGAATTAGAATTATTATTTTCAATTCAATTCCATAGTTTGAATTTCATGTATCAAACAGAGCCTTGGATAACGACGAGTTTCAAATTTATGACCTCTTAGTCCACAAGGTTATGACCATGTCGAAATGTCAACCCAACCAAAATCTCAAGCTTGTAATTGTGTTAGAATATAAAAACTTTTTTTGAACCATTACGGCAAACTAAAGTTTTTGGTTGAATTACTTCCTCCGACAAAAAATAATCTTCCCGTTTTGATTTTACGCGCAAGTGTAAATTTTTGTTAATTGACATATTAGTGTAAATGTTTGTCACACATTTTAGAACACTAAATCATTGTTTGGAAATAATATTTTTGACTAATGTTCGTGTTTTAGATAAAAATTTAATAGTATAGATTAATTCTGAAAACGATAACCCTAAAAGCTACCGTCCAATCATACTTACCGTTTGTGGCTGGAGAGGAAGAAAGAGTTCGAATAAGATCAGTATGTAAATGAGCTGAGAGAGAACAACACCCAGCTGTCCAAAGCACAATCCAAGGAACGCCGGCGCCGGCGCCGCCTCTTTTCTCGGCCATGTCGCCGCCGAACCAAAGAAACGCATCCGTCAAGAAACACCCGAACCGGGTCCCGATCTCCGCCTCCGCTTCCTCGACCGCTCTCTCGTAGTTTCCCGGCATCACCGCCACGAATCTCATGGCGGCGTCCCGCTCCTGCAGCAGCGCCGCCCCCTCCGCCGCGCCGTCCCACACGTCGTACGCCTTGATGTTGCGGCGGCCGGCGGCGGACGGTTTGAACAGAGAGGCGTTGGACCGGGGGGTGCTGAAGAAGGAGAAACGGACGCCGGGGAAGTCGCCGGCGATCATTTCGACCAAGTTGAGCAAGGGCGCGGCGTGGCTGCCGTACGGGAAGGCTAAGACCGCTACATGGTACCGGAATGAT